TTTACGTCTGTTCTACTAATTATTGACACTAAGAAACTCGTACAATTTTTTAAATCATTACTAAACGTGTTGTACTTGTCTACATCTGAATTGAAAAGTGGGAGAAAAGTTGCTTACTGTATTTTGCCGCCTTTGATGGTTCTGATGATCAAGATGACAACGTCAAAATCTAAGTGTTCAGGAGTCGATGAGGATTCAGGAGTTTTTGAATTGATGCAGAATCAAGGTTGGGGGTTATTATAGGCCTAATAGTGCACCACGTGATTTATGTCCAGGCCCCCGTGACATGCAGTTGTCATGTGACATGTAATTAACTAATTGAATTGCAAAAACAATTCCGACAGCAAATAACCGCATCCACAACAACAATGTGTGGATGCAAAGAAAGAAACCATTTTAAACCCCTTTCTGTATATTTGTATTTGTATTCCTTTCTGAAACTATCATTCTACAAACAGTTGTGTTCACCGCCCATTGTGATACTTCTACTTAAGAAAATAAAAAAGGATGTTTATTTAGTCATTTGACATGCGTTCATTGTAAACAAGGATTAGTGTGAAAGGATTATTAAGTTTGTCATCCAGTATAATGCACTTCCTCGATTAGCATAATTAGAACAGAGTTTGTAATTAGTTATATCCTGACTCCAGTTAACCAAGGCAGCTACATCAGTTGTGATTTATGAATTTGTGGAATCTTAATGAAAATAACGACCGCCTGTCACAAAAATGCAAACGAACATTGAACACGCACAGTTGCAGATTTTCCTTTCGTACATTTGAGGGTGAACGTGAACGAAGCCGTGCAAGATGCTTTACAGCGATTTGTCTTCAGAACACATATTGAGCTCAGGTAAGTTTATTAATGATGATATTTTCATCCACTCATAGATATGGCGATCATGAGCGCTGACACTATATGTATTCGCAATAGAACATTTGGAAGACTAGACACAAATTGAGTCACAATATGACAACATCAAATCAAAGAATTTGTTTAATGCAACAGATTTAAGGCATTGAAATTGTACATTATTATAAAATACATGAGTGTCGCTACGTCTCATGTCAAATACATCAATGAATTCTTTATAAAAAAAATTAATTTAATATTACTATGAATTTATAGCTAAAATTATGGAGTCTTGCATGTCGAGCCAACAAACTATAGTACATATTATTCACCTTGGAATTTCTGTTTACTGTGCTTGTGGTGGGGTCAACCCTATTCCCAAAATGGACAGTTCCAAATACTACTGCATAAAATATTAATGCCAATTTGGAGAAAATTACCAAATGAATGAATGCAAGTAAAACTTAATCCAGGGAAAAAGAAAACTGTTCAATATCACGTCAAAGTGTGCCCAAGTGCAAAACCTAATCTTAAAATGAAAGGACTTTGGTATTAATATTTCAGTCAGATTATGATATTGGCGAGTTAACGAGGTAAGCCCTATGATTAATTGTCTTAAATACCTTTCTGGTGTCCACCGCCGTGAACCATACTCAATCACTCAGATAAATAACCCCTTTTACATAAGTCATGAACAAGCATATATATATTGCCAATATTTTGCTCCCATGTTTTGGATAATTGTACCAAAGAAAAAGAATTAATCATAGAATGTCTACACATTAATTCATTACGGACGCTGAAATAATGCCGATGAGACGTTAATTTTTACCTCGCCCACTCACTGATTACGGACTATTTGTGGGCCAATAAGAGGTACAAGCCACGTGAAAATGTAGAGTCAGACCAACGTAGCCATTACACCTTTTTACAAGATGGAAAACATCTTTGCTGTTAGTGATTACATATAAAGAAATCTAACCAATTCACAGGCTATACGTTGTAGAACTGAATGCAAGTCATTCCTACCTGATACCATTAATAATTGGAATAGTCACCGGAAAAAGAGGATTATTAAACTTAAACATTGTTATATTCAGTTAAGCCATGATACCAGATTTTGTCACTTTAAACTTCCATCGGCTCAAAAACACATCTCAGATAACACATCATGCATGCTCTTGTGGCTGTCACAATGGTACACTGCATTAATTTTTACACATGCCCCAACTACAATATATTTAGAAACGATTCTTTTCTAAAGGTTAAGTGAGTTTCTAATCAGTGGTTTATTGGAAACAATTTGAACAGTGCCTAATTTAGCTATTTTGAAATCGGCCATGTACATCCGACGTTCGGGTGGATTTGCACATATATAATAACTAGTAGTAAGACTTAATACATACTTTGAGACACGTATTAAGTATTAAAGAGTTAAATAACTTTTCTTAGGAAACCCCTTTCCATCAACCGCACTGTTGACCTATCTTTTTTGTTCTGTTTTGATGTATTGATGTATTATTTAATACAATATGTATATCTCCCCTCATCCCAATGTTAATAAAAGGAAGCTTGGTGGGGACTTTTGGGATATAAGAAATGAATACAGACTGCCATATTGTCTGAATGTCTTAACAATCACCGGGTGTGACAACGTAGACAGGATATCATTCGGGTTTCTCATAATTACTCCATGAGCATGCTTGGTATTGTAGCTTGGGGATATTAAATGTAAGTTTGTTATCAGAGGAGATTGATAGTGAACTTTTAGTACCAGTTAGATATGATATCTATATGACTTCTTTCTGTTTGACAAAGGATTAAGGGTATATGTGTGGGTAATCCTTCCACGCTGATGAAAGAAAGTCACTCTACTAGTTCATGTAATCTACGTCAAATAAGATCAGAACACATGCATTATTACAACATACTCAGGATACCAATAACAACGAAATGTACAAATTAACAAACATGATCAATATTATTATTACATGTTAATGCCATGTATGTAAATATAGCTATATAAGCATATGTTTAATTTTTCAGGTTGTGTGAAGTCGTCCATAAATACAAGAAAACGTATATTTTCCCAAAATTATATTACCCTCAAAAGGGCAATTATATTCATGTTACATTTTTTCAGTCTCTTTTTTAATTCGAATGACGTAACATTTATGTTACTTTGATTTTATTAGACCCATGTTGTTGTTACAGACCCAGGGATTGACTAGGTTCATTACATGTCATAAAAGTGCCGGGACATAATATGGTGGCAATACATTCTCTAATTAACACCTGTCACAAAGGGACGGGCAATTTGGGTTTGTCCTCAGGGAATGTGTTATGCAATTTGTGTATTCACGAAATAACATTCAACAAATTATGTACATGGTCCTGTGATGTAGGATTGATGCATTCGTACTTTTTATAAATAAATGAATTGCATTTTTTTTCTTAACCGTGTGCGAAATACGCATAATGTCGGAAAGCGCAAGTTAAATACTGACTTCATCCCAAAATAAATCACAAACCCTCTCTTATAATTTGTATATTATTCTATATTTTAATTATGTAAATCACGTTCCTGTCACTTTTAAGAATACGTTAGTCACTCAACCAATTCCATTATTATTTTCCCAAAGATCAAAGATTAAAGCAGTTATCAAGATTTATTTTCCGTATCTTTAAAAATACTTAATCTTTACATTGAAACTGCCATCATGATGTATTATTATTATTATTATTATTTTTACTATTATTATTGATGTACATATGGTTTGCACCCAACCATGCGCGTGCCAAATGATACAGCGTCAAGCTTTTAGAGCGCTAACTAAGTTTTCAAAAGTAGAAATTAAGCCAAATGAATATATATCAAGTTTCCTTTTGCTAGAACATATGCATGCTGTTGTGTTTTTTCAAGGTAATCTTCGTTCTCGCATTGATAACAATATTTAAAGAACAAGTATTATAAAATATAATACGGGAATATATTACACACGTTATTTACGCATCCGGTTGCTCATAATACAATTTTCCCCAAGGACTACCGTTTTACAAAACGTGATTTTCCGCGTTTCCGCCGAGATTTCACATTTTAACAATGTATATCTACAATGAAACCGACAGCTCAGAACAAACCAAATTCAACACTTTTAAGTAGTGATAAAATAGTTTTCATCCTCTGTGCAATCCACTCTGTTGGCATATGTGCACGAGAGCATGTTACAAAACACATCGCGGCCTCCCCGTAAAACAAATCCAAGCTCAAACACTTTCAATACAGAAGTTACCGCCAAAGCAATCGCCCCCGACAGCTAATCCCCTCTGTGCATTTGACCATAAAGTCTACTCACATACCAAGCACCGCGCCAGGAAAAGTACCAGACGCCTCAACCGCCCACCCGTCAATATCATTGCAAGGACAGTATGTACTCCCGCTAACAGTGTGGAGTACTAATTAAACCTTCCAGTAATGTTACCCGCCACTAAATCAGTTTTTTGTAACTTGCTGATACTATTTTGCACATACAAAACATTTATAGAGCAATACATAGCAATTATCCTCCTTTACCAACATATACAAAGAAACACAGTGCTCAACTTAAAACACTTCAATTTGCACATATATCATAATTATACACAAATACATAATAATTATCTCCCTTTACCAATATATACAAACAAAACAAATTTGGATACACCATATATACAAATTTGTATATTTTGTATATGTCATATATACAAACTTGTATATTTTGTATATATCATCTTTCCAATCTTGTATATCCTTTGGAAATATCATCTTTCCAAAGGATATACAAGCTTGTATATATGGATTTTTTTTGCAGTGGAAATACGCATATGTTGGAAAGCGCACGTTAAATTCCTAATTTAAGTAAGTTACAGAGTTTGTTAAGTACATAAATTTTATATGATAATATATAGGAGATAAATTGGGGAATTTTTAACAGTTCATGTTCGTTATAAACCGTGTTCTACTGTATAAGAAAAGGTTTAGTAAATAATTTCAACAGACTTGAGTCGTTGTCTTAGTGTGAATCTGACATTGAAAGGGAGAGGTGTATTGGTCAACAGAAGAAAGATCATCCTGCTAGAATATTGGATTATTTGTTATTTGTTTTCAGGTAGGAACTGGTTTCAGCTTCACAGGAGAAGATTCTGGCTATGCTACTAATGAGGAAGATGTGGGAAGAGATTTATACAGGTGAGACACTTACATAGCATTGTTATACCTCTATTAACAATCTTGCAATACCATTGGCTAATCCATATCACGTGACAAAACGATACATTGTAATGTAGACCCCCAAATCATGTGACTGATTCTGATCTCGAATATATTGACCTGTCAGGTGATGAATATTGACTCGTCTGCTAGAAAACAAGATGGCGTCTGGTACGAACATTTCACGGTTCACAGCTAAGTTATTATGATGAAACAGAAGATGGTTTGAAGACTGTATAAATTTTAAAGTGAATTTTATCGTAAAACAAATGATTACCCTTGACGAGGTTAATATGTGAAAACAAGGACCCTCGGACCCGACCCTTTCGGCCTGTGGTCAGACCACCTCAGGGGTTTGGTCCTTGAGTCCTTGGGTCCTTGTTTTTGCATATTGACCTTGTCAAGGGTATTTTTTGTGTAGTATTCAGGGTGCTCACTTGTGTCTTGTCAAGTAGACTCAGCTTTACTGGAGAAAGCGGATGACTTGGATTGGGTCAATACTGAGTTGTTAATTAGGAGATAAACATACTGTGTTTTCAATGTAGAGCTAGGTTACCTGTAGATTTAACGGCGCTAAATTGAATTTGGAACTTAACGCGCAGCATGAGGTTTCAAAAGTTAAATTTAGCGTGGTTAAATCTACAGGTAGCCTAGCTCTACATTGAACACACAATATGTTTATCTCCATTCTACCAAGACTAAATAAAACGCAAACTCTTTGGTGGTAGTAAATATACTGAGTGAAGCGGCATGGGTTGAGACCAGTGTTTTGAGTGGGTTATCGATCCGGATTACGAAATCACCGAACAAATTATGGTGCTGTGTATACTCAAGCAGTTTGTTTACACCGTAATACTTCACTCGAACATATGACAGGCATTGAAAGCATATAAGCACAGCAACTTGGTAAGCTTACATGGGGTGAGCATCCCTAAAGAAAACGAAGCAAGCTTTGCAAGGCTTTCGCTCTACATTGCACATCACCATTATGATGTCATATGGCTCATTGTGACGCAAAAGATATGACGTCACAGTTGTATACAGTAAAGTACCAAAATTCCAAGCTCTCTGTTGTCTCCAAAACGTGAATACATTCCCTGTGTAGATTTCTATCGTGTTTTCTGCATGAAATGTATTGCCACACATCCTTTGAATATTGTAGTAACCGCATCTGTGTATTTTGTAACCTGTAATTGTACTACCTTTGTAGATATAATTATTTAAATATGCCTACCAACAATAACTGAAAATAGTACCATTCTATGAATATTAGCTTCTGCGATGATGCGGCCGTCAAACCAGCAATTTCAATCAGAGGGGGTTTATTGTGATTTAGTAGCCTCTGACTGACCAATCAGAATCGAGTAAATTCCAAATTCATGGTAGAATTGTTGGTTGTGCCCCTCGCAGTTTCCATGTGTCTCACAACATTGCCAGAACAGAATTAAACAACTATACAGGCTACATTCACAAAACATAGTGCACACATTCATTAACAGTAGTTGTGCCTTTTGCTATTTTGGTTTCCGAAACATTTTCCTATAGATACCAGCTTAACTAGCAGCATGTTTGACTTGCGTTCAAATGAGTGTAGGGTTCATTTCCAAAGCAAAAACTGCTCAATATTTTTTCATGAAACTTCAGGCAAGTGCTGAACTAGACCTTTTGTAAATCAGGATTTTTTTAAGAAGCTGCCCCATGGGACAGGACTACTTGACGGTTTGGTTGGAATTTGACCACCACTGCTACTGATTTCTCTAATGTCCCGAAGTTTATTGACTTCAGTCAGAGATCAAGGTAAAGGGTTAAAAAAAATTAACTTTAATTTATCACTGAACTGGGTATGTATCTTCTCTTGACTGGGCCCTGCTTTGAAAACATTTTGGTCACCATAAGTCACGGTCAGCATTCAGATTGTAGAATATGGTTATGTCCATGTCAGTTTCTCTGGCAAGGTTACCGCTACAGTATGGAACTTCATGGTTGCATGTGTCTTACAAATACTACCACATGAAATGGTGTGCCATGTCTATCAAAGGTCAAAGTCTGTGTGGTAATTGTAAACATGGTTGCATCATTCATTGTCAGGTACTGTTGCACTTCTACTGAGACAAATGTTGGATGTTATACTTAGCCTTGAATACAGTCAAGGTCTGGAAGAGATGTTTTTCGACTACTTGTAAATGTTGCTGTTTTATGGGGTACTGATCTCTGAGAGTTCACCGGAACTAGTTGTTGCCTCTGTTATTGTTTTTTCTTGTGGATACCCAAATGATATCCCAGAAATCTCCACCAGTTCGCTCCCTGTGCTACGCCAACGGTAAGTGCATTTGCTGCTTTTATTGACACTTTAAGGGCGTATCGTCACATTAATCAGCAAAATGAAATACAGTTTTGTCTTGAAAATAATAAGGATATGTAGGTATCTTTTGGGGTAGCATCGGTAATGGTGACGAAGTTTGGATAAGTCACTTGCTTGGTATTGTTTGAATTTCGTTTGCACTATTTTGACTTGTAGCTCATACTAAATATTTCACTTAAGCATTCATTATTTAATCGTGTCTAAATGTTAGGCTTGGACCAAGAATTCATGTGACTGCCTGTCCCTGTGGACCGGCAAATAAAGTACCTTATAAATCTTATTGTTGATCAAAACATTGGGTATATTTATATAAGTATAGTTTTCGAACTAAATCAACTTGTCCGTTGCCATTTGGGTTTCTCCTTGTCTATTTTTAGTGCAAGGAAATAATATTTTACTTTGCTTCAAAATATATTTATATTTGTAACGTCTTAGTCGCAAAATATTCAAAAAAAAAGAGAAAATTTTGACTGAACTTTAATGTGTAGATCTCACTAAGTTACTTCAGAGATGACGTCATTGCACTGAACATGAAGTTGAAAGAATTAAAAACAGGTAATTTTCATACATATTTTTATTTGTTGACAAACATTAGGGGGGACTGGTAATTATTAGAGGTGGCAGTCCACCAGTACAGGCAGTTTCACTGAAAATGACTAAAATTTTCACATAGGTAATATATTCAATGCCTCAGTATTCAGTTATTTTGCAAATTGACTGAAAATCTGTCCCTTCATTTTATTATGATAACACTGGGTGCATGAAGAATGATGTAATACATTGAGCACTTCAACATGCATACATCATATACGGGGCGGAACATGCCAGATAAAATCGGAATTTTTACAGATTGCAGCAAATGACGTTGATAATGTCTTCTGCAGCACCTATCTACATGCCGAAAGGCGCCTCTACTAGACCTGCGCCTACGGGCATCTCTACATTGCCAGTGCCTTCGGGCACATCTACGATGTTTGTGCCTCTAGAGGCCTCGAAGATCCCTGTGATACCTTACAAACAAAGACAGATAACTCTAAAGTACTGTGGTTGCGAGTGCCTCATTTATTGCCACTTACAATAATCTACAGCCATATAAAAACATGCACGCACGCATGCACACACACATGCACACACACACACACACTCACACACACGCACACACTGCCCACTTCCCACCTTGTTTCAAAAAGTGGAATAGAAAAGGTTTAACAGCATCCATGTTTCTTAATTCAAGGTTGGACTATTATTGAAACACACAGTTTTATATTAGGCTTCAAAAACTGGAATTCGTTTTCAGGCTATGGCTTTGAAAAATATAGTCTGGGCAGGATGGGCGGGTGATGATTTCTTTTTTTCTTTTTTTTTTGTTAAAGCTATTATGTCACAAAATATACAGTTGTTTACGATAAACCTGGGAAAGGGCCCCCCTACTTAATTGTACTCAGTATTTGAGTACCGTTGGGCTACCAGTGTGTGCATAATTCATGCATAGAATGAGCTTTGATTTTATTTTACAATGCAAAGATGTTATCACAACCACACAACACCAGAAGAAACATGTCAACAAATCCGTACTGAAGTATGCAGGGGCGTTCTGTCATTACACTATCTGGCTATAAAAGTGTTCATTGTGTATCTGGACTTGCATTTGTAATCCATAATATTAATTTTATTTTTAAGTATTGTAGCATTTCACTGCCATGTTCATGTGTTGAAGACAAGGAATTTTAAAGGATTTTTACTTTTTGAAAATGGAAATAAAAAAAATCATGCGGGCCGTGCCTGAGAACCAAGACTGAGAATCCTTACTGTTATTTTTCAAATAAGGGGCAGCAGCTACAAGTAGCGGGCCTCACAAATGTAATAAGTGTCTTGAAAAAGGCACGTGCTCCATTCTTGAATCGTTCTTGGAAGTTGTGAGGAAGTCTGTGTTTTCAGATAATCATCCTGTCCTCACGGGTCAAGAGACAGGTGCAAGTCAGGTCGTAGAAGGCCTCAAATTGCCCGTGTCTCACTCTTTAAGCCATCCTTCTAGAAGCTGTCACCTCATGAAACTCCTCTAACGATGCAGACTGTTCCAGAGTTTATTGACAAACAAAGGCATATAACTCTAGAATACTGTGGTTGCAAGTGCCTCGTTTACTGCCACTTGCAATAATTTACTGCCATAAAACACACGCACGCACACACACACACGCACAAACACGCACGCACACGCACGCACGCACGCACACACACACATATGAACGTTACTAGAGTGTTCACCAGTCTTCTCATGTCATGTGTACATCTATGTCCATTTTGTGTTATTACAGCTGTTTAACACAGTTCTTCCAGATCTTCAATGAATACCAGAAGAATGACTTTTACATCACGGGAGAGGTAAGACAGTTTTTACAAGGTCATGTTTGTCAGCTGTCTAGCAATATGAAACATGACAGGATCTGTAGCAAAACAACTGAATTCACATTTTTTCATTGCAGCAAATACTTTGTGAAAAGAAATTATAAAAAGTTTCTAAGAATATTCTTCCCTGAAACATTATGAACCAGAGAGCTGAAACTTTCAAAACATGTGTAGGAGCTTAATGTTATTGTATTTGATCATGGCATGGGATTGAAAAGGGTAGTTATTTTTTTAAATTGACTAACATTTCTAATAGTGGAATGTGACAGAGCATCTTCATTTCAGGATACCAACTTTCTCCAGGTGATATTTCAAAGTGCAACACTGCCATAGACTTCACATTTACTCATGCCATTTAGATTAAGAAATAAACAATTTTTTAATCGAAACATTAAAAAGAAAACCCGAAACATTATTTCACTTTTAGTTTGTTTTCGGACCTGTCATCGGCACTAAACTTTAGGCATTGTTATCAAATGCCAGGAAGTGGGAATGGGGTACAGGAATGGGAGCTGTCAAACCTTCCGTCCATAACGTTTTGTTGCCAGTGCATTACTCAGGAACCATTTAATATTTTATAACAAAACTGTGCATGCTTATCAGACAGATTCTAAACATTTGACTTTTCCCACCAGGTTCCATTGCAAGTTTGTATAACTTGAAGGCTACTCAGTAGTGGTAGATCACACTTTGCACAGATATGTCCATGCAGGACTCTGGAAATCTGTCTTACTGGACTTGTCCGATTGTGACTGCAAAACGTCCGGTTTGAAATAGTGCAACCGGACATTTTATAATTCGACCAACATCAATCACCACAGACACACTGACCTACATCCCGATAGGTTGAAATTGTTTATATTAGATCTATGTATCTTTATCAAGTGTTGGAGGCTATAAAACACATCGTAGCTCTATCCCTTCAGCGAATTCAGGTGAACAAACAAATATAACAAACTTTGTCAGAAAATATGAAATTGGATATAAATTTGACATGATGATTTACCATTTAAATTGTATTTCCTGTTCTCCAAGGCATTGTTTTATATGCAGAGATGAAGATGTGCACACGTTCTCGCAACAATCTACCGGTGATTCAGTCAAAAAGTACCCAATGATACAACATCAAAGATTTTGATGCAATGGTCTGAACAAACTGAATCTGAAATTATAATTTTATCAGGAATAATATATTCCAAAATCGTGTTATTTTAGTTGTGGCCTTTATAATTATAAGAACCATAAGCGTAACACTTTGGTATAGCTGATCACTATTGCAGGATATTTTTATGTATGGACCAGTCAGCACCGTAGGGACTTCCCGCGTGACATTTATTTTGATTGCGAAAACATAATGTTGACATATAATAGTCACATTGCCACAAATATGACTTTTAACGAGTTAAAGTATGGCATTTATGATATATGTATCCATTCTCTGGCAACTAAAGTTTGTTTCAAGGCATCAATAGCAGTAATCTGACCGTGGTTGCTGTAAATAACGGTGAGTTGTGTGATCTACCGATCACTTCACACACAATTTTGCCAAAATTATTGTAAACAATACTGAATTAAATTTTGAATAAAATTGATAAAATATCTTACAAACATAACTCCAGAAATACAATGACACGATTTTATAACCAGATAGTATAATAATGGGATTGCGTATTTCAGATTGGATTTGTTGACTGGTATTTCCGGTGTAACGTGCTCACAGTGATCAGTTGATAAATGTTTTTTGTGTTGGTGTAAACCTTGAGTTCATTAAAAGTAAGTAAATCTTGGGAGCCAATTGTTACTGCGTGCCATAACCGAGGTATTGAAGGGCGCAATAGTGAGGGAACACTATGTATATCATGAAAGTGACCCTTGACTTTTCTTTTTGTTCATACATCCAGCACCTCACATATTAGGTGGGCGAGACCAAAATGCAAATGTCTGATTGGCAAAAAATATTTACGGATCCCTGATCAGGTCTGTCACCTCTTGTATGAAAATTAATTTGGAAAGCAGAAGTTTTTGAAAATGGTCATATATAGTGTGGAATTAGAAATATATTACAGGCCACAGCGTAACAAACTGATGGGTTTTCAAACACTGCTAAGATAATATTATGTCAAGTGCACCTGCGGGGTATTATCGGTACATCACTGCATGATGTAAGTAACAATTATCAAATGTGGTGATGAAAAGAGTGGTCTTGCATAGTATCACTGTATCTCTGTCCTCTGTTCCCGCCATCCCCTACATCACTGTATCTCTGTCCTCTGTTCCCGCCATCTCCTACATCACTGTATCTCTGTTCTCGCCATCTCCTACATCACTGTATCTCTGTTCCCGCCATCTCCTACATCACTGTATCTCTGTCCACTGTTCCCGCCATCTTCTACATCACTGTATCTCTGTCCTCTGTTCCCGCCATCTCCTACATCACTGTATCTCTGTCCTCTGTTCCCGCCATCCCCTACATCACTGTATCTCTGTCCTCTGTTCCCGCTATCTCCTACATCACTGTATCTCTGTTCTCGCCATCTCCTACATCACTGTATCTCTGTTCCCGCCATCTCCTACATCACTGTATCTCTGTCCACTGTTCCCACCATCTTCTACATCACTGTATCTCTGTCCTCTGTTCCCGCCATCTCCTACATCACTGTATCTCTGTCCTCTGTTCCCGACATCTCCTACATCACTGTATCTCTGTCCTCTGTTCCCGCCATCTCCTACATCACTGTATCTCTGTCCTCTGTTCCGCCATCTCCTACATCACTGTATCTCTGTCCTCTGTTCCGGCCATCCCCTACATCACTGTATCTCTGTCCTCTGTTCCCGCCATCTCCTACATCACTGTATCTCTGTCCTCTGTTCCCGCCATCTCCTACATCACTGTATCTCTGTCCCCGCCATTCCCTACATCACTGTATCTCTGTCCTCACCATCTCCTACATCACTGTATCTCTGTCCTCTGTTCCCGCCATCCCCTACATCACTGTTTCTCTGTCCTCACCATCTCCTACATCACTGTATCTCTGTCCTCTGTTCCCGCCATCTCCTACATCACTGTATCTCTGTCCTCTGTTCCCGCCATCCCCTACATCACTGTATCTCTGTTCTCTGTCCCCGCCATCTCCTACATCACTGTATCTCTGTCCTCTGTTCCCGCCATCTCCTACATCACTGTATCTCTGTCCTCTGTTCCCGCCATCTCCTACATCACTGTATCTCTGTCCTCTGTTCACACCATACCCTACATCACTGTATCTCTGTCCTCTGTTCCCGCCATCTCCTACATCACTGTATCTCTGTCCTCTGTTCCCGCCATCTCCTACATCACTGTATCTCTGTCCTCTGTTCCCGCCATCTCCTACATCACTGTATCTCTGTCCTCTGTTCCCTCCATCTCCTACATCACTGTATCTCTCTCCTCTGTTCCCGCCATCTCCTACATCACTGTATCTCTGTCCTCTGTTCCCGCCATCTCCTACATCACTGTATCTCTGTCCTCTGTTCCCGCCATACCCTACATCACTGTATCTCTGTTCTCTGTTCCCGCCATCTCCTACATCACTGTATCTCTGTCCTCTGTTCCGGCCATCCCCTACATCACTGTATCTCTGTCCTCTGTTCCTGCCATCCCCTACATCACTGTATCTCTGTCCTCTGTTCCCGCCATCTCCTACATCACTGTATCTCTGTCCTCTGTTCCCGCCATCTCCTACATCACTGTATCTCTGTCCTCACCATCTCCTACATCACTGTATCTCTGTCCTCTGTTCCCGCCATCTCCTACATCACTGTATCTCTGTCCTCACCATCTCCTACATCACTGTATCTCTGTCCTCTGTTCCCACCATCTCCTACATCACTGTATCTCTGTCCTCACCATGTCCTACATCACTGTATCTCTGTCCTCTGTTCCCGCCATCTCCTACATCACTGTATCTCTGTCCTCTGTTCCCGCCATCTCCTACATCACTGTATCTCTGTCCTCTGTTCCCGCTATCTCCTACATCACTGTATCTCTGTCCTCTTTTCCCGCCATCCCCTACATCACTGTATCTCTGTCCTCTGTTCCCGACATCTCGTACATCACTGTATCTCTGTCCTCTGTTCCCGCCATCTCCTACATCACTGTATCTCTGTCCTCTGTTCCGGCCATCCCCTACATCACTGTATCTCTGTCCTCTGTTCCGGCCATCCCCTACATCACTGTATCTCTGTCCTCTGTTCCCGCCATCTCCTACATCACTGTATCTCTGTCCTCTGTTCCCGCCATCCCCTACATCACTGTATCTCTGTCCTCTATTCCGGCCATCCCCTACATCACTGTATCTCTGTCCTCTGTTCCGGCCATCCCCTACATCACTGTATCTCTGTCCTCTGTTCCCGCCATCTCCTACATCACTGTATCTCTGTCCTCTGTTCCGGCCATCTCCTACATCACTGTATCTCTGTCCTCACCATCTCCTACATCACTGTATCTCTGTCCTCTGTTCCCGCCATCTCCTACATCACTGTATCTCTGTCCTCACCATCTCCTACATCACTGTATCTCTGTCCTCTGTTCCCACCATCTCCTACATCACTGTATCTCTGTCCTCACCATGTCCTACATCACTGTATCTCTGTCCTCTGTTCCCGCCATCTCCTACATCACTGTATCTCTGTCCTCTGTTCCCGCCATCTCCTACATCACTGTATCTCTGTCCTCTGTTCCGGCCATCCCCTAAATCACTGTATCTCTGTCCTCTGTTCCCGCCATCTCCTACATCACTGTATCTCTGTCCTCTGTTCCCGCCATCCCCTACATCACTGTATCTATGTCCTCACCATCTCCTACATCACTGTATCTCTGTCCTCTGTTCCCGCCATCTCCTACATCACTGTATCTCTGTCCTCTGTTCCCGCCATCTCCTACATCACTGTATCTCTGTCCTCTGTTCCCGCTATCTCCTACATCACTGTATCTCTGT